AAATAATAATAATCCCAAAATTTTATAAAAAGAAAAGTCTCCTGACTTCTGGTGAATGTGATGGGGAAGGGGGCAAAGGTCCCTCACTGCATGGAGGCAGCTTTCTGAGTGGGGAATCCTCAAACATAAAGAGATTTTGCAGTATTTGAAGGAAATGATCGCATCTGGAGTCTTGCACTGATCTTGGTAGTGCTTCAGATTATAGCTGGAGAGCATTAGGAGTACGAATCCTTATGGGAAAGTTCATCAGCTTTTAGTGATGGGTTTAAACCAACAAAATAAAACCTGCAGAATAACCAAAACAGGAATTTTTTAAACAAAAAATGTCATTGCTCCCATTAAGTGTGAACTTGAGGTTTATATGGAAAATGCAGTGTATTTTCTGCACATGGAAGGGGTGTTAATGTTCAGTCGTGTCCAGCTGACATGACGATGTGTGTATGCATGGTATTGCCCTTTGGAATAGGTGTTGGTGCACCCATGGATCCATCGATACTCACACTCTTGTACCGTGTGTACATGCACCAGGAGCAGATCTGCTATATGACTTCGGATCAGGATGGATGTGTTTAATGATGCCTCTGGCTGTGAGACCTCCCGAGCCTGTGTCTTTCTGTCCGTGTGTCCATGTTGAGCTATTCCTGCTCGTTCTCTCTATGGACAAAGACGTCTTCCGTTCAGGAGTGCAGCAGCCTCCAAAGTGCGAATAATTTTCAGCGAGGAGTTACACTAAGTGGGAAAGCTTTTAGCACATTATCCACTGGCAATTGGACTATAATCTAATTGCCAGCCCTCGGGTCTTAATAGAGCCTTTCTCTTCCCACCATCGGATTTGCATCTGGGAGATGCCTAATGGGTTTAAAACGCCTCGCTTTTTTGCACCAATAAGCCCGCCTTCTCGGCGTAGGTGACATTGAGATGGTTTTGTCGGGAAATTGGATCTGGGGTACCTGGGCTTCTCCTTTTCCTGCGGGAACAGCGCGGGAAGGGGGATGGAGCTACCCCACCGCAGGAATAGCGCTGGGAACGGGGCTTGCTCCGAAACCGGGAATCAAAGGGAGGGTGAACCCGGCGGAGAGAGCTATGGAATTATGTGCAGCAGAGGAGTGGAAAGGGGAAAAGAGCCTGAAAGTAGAGCTGATAATCGTGTACTGTTGCAATGAGCAGAACCGGGGAGCCCTGTGGGCTTCGCTTTGCAGAGTCGCGATGTGCTCGCAAGACATGAACGGGCGCTCTGGAGACCCTGACCGGGGGAATAAACCCGATTGTTTCGGACAAGCGGGTTTCAGCTACTGGGAGTGATTAAAAAGGAGTGATTAAAAATATAAAGAAAGACAGAAAAAGAAGCAGAAAAATGTTTAACTCCTCCCCTCCCGAGGCGGGAATGCCGTCAAGGCAAAAGCAGACCCGCAAGCTGTCCCGCGGTGCGGGATGAAGGGTCGGGCATCGGCTCCTGGTAGCATTGGGCCGGGAACAGTCAAGGCAGGAAGGCAACGGTGAGGGGCCGGCAGCGGCATCCTCACCCTCGGGCGATGGTTCCAGAGGGGAGATGGGGGAGTAAGGGAGGAAGACGGAAACTGCACATAGATATAGACATGTATTTCTATATATATAAAAGAGCTGTGGCCCCTTCATCAGTACGCGAAACTGACTTAAAATATGCGCATGATCCCCGCGCGTTTTGCGCCCTTTTTTTTTTCTGCACGCAGAAGCGCTGCGCGGCCGCGCAAAAGAGAGCACGGTGTGAGCTCCTGTCACCCAAGAAAAGGCTCACCTGAAATTATCGGCGGCAGGGCAGGCTTTCAGGCGGGTTTCAGCAGGTTTCTGTCCCTCGTGTCTGCTTCCTGCCGTGGTTTGGGCCGGGAGGAAGTGGCGTCCATAGTTTTCACGGGATTAGGATTTTCCCGTTGCTTGTCAGCGGGCAGAGAGACGTTTTGGAAAGGGGCTGGAGGCTCCCTGTTTGAAACCTGACGGTGAAACCGAGATTTAATCCTGATTAAAGCTGGTAAAGGGACGAGCGCAACGGGGCGTGCGGCACTTCTCCTCAGCTGTGCCCCGCACACTGCTTTTTGGACAGCGAGGAGCTTTTCACGCAAAGGAGGGTAGAAAAAACGGTATTTAGAAAGCAGAATACAGGCTAATGACATAGATCTGCCCTACCAGATGGACACTAGAGACAAAACACACGGATTTGGTAGACAGAAAACAAACTGCGGTGTGGGTGGCGTGTTCTTTATATACGGATAAAGAAATAACGAAGGATTTTATCGGAACGGGTTCATCCAAGGCAAACGCCCTGCTCGGGGCCAGCAGGGTTTGTAACTGCTCTCGAGAACAGGCTCGATGCAGCGGTGACAGCCACTCCGGCACCGTCTCGGCGGGGACCGGCTGCTGCGGCTCCATCCCCCGGGAAGGGAGCGCAGGGGTTTATTAATTACGTTAATTAATGGGAAAGCAGAGGGGGATCAAGAGCATTGGGGTCCCCAGTCTCTGGAAGCCCCCCCATCCCCGGAGTGGCGGCCCAGGGCAGCCGGCGTCTCTTCCTTTCCCACCCGGGGTCCGCAAGCGGCAGGGGTCGGAGCCGCACCGAGGATCAGGCTGCCGGAGCCGAGCCCCGTTCATTGCCCGTGGGGCTGGGGAAGGGGTGCTCTGGATGTCTAGACAAGGCTCTTTTGCTTATCGGAGGCGGAGCGAGGGGGAAACTAAGAAAATAAAAGATTCTCGTGGGATAGAGAGAAAAATTGCACGGCTCCGATGAGTAAAGAAGAGCCATCCTATGGTGACGGACCCCGTACAAAATGAGATTATTAAAATAAAATAAAATAGCTCCTGGTTTCCGTCCACCCCGGTTTTTTTCGATTTCCGAGGTACGAGGAGGGACCTCCAAGCTCCCAAGGCCGGTCCCCCTCGCAGGACAGGAGCCCCCTGCCCCTGTCTCAACTCGCCCGCTGAGCCGCTCCCCCCACTTCCCGCTTGCCCCGCCAGGGCCAGGTCCGGGTCCGCGTCCTTCTCCCCGGGCTGTAGGCAGCGCACGTCCACCCCACGGGGCTGGAAATCCAGCGACGAGGCACAGCAGAAAGAGCTCCGATCCTGCACGTCGGTGTTTTGCAGTCAGCACCGATATATTCACCCTTCCCCTGAGCCGCGACGGGCCGCGGGCAGCCCCTGCCAGGGATAGGTATGTTACCACCTGGCTGCTGGGGAACGGGAGAGTTCTGGTGGGTTGTTTGGTGTTGGGGTTTTTGGTTTGTTTGTTTGGGTGGGTTTTTTCAGGATCCGCGCTGCTTCTTTGACGGAATCTTGGCTTTTTTATCCTTGTTTGCGAGGCGCATAGCGGAGGTAGGAGACCAAAGGGGACTGAGGCATCCCCCACCACCACCGTAACGGTGAAGAGAATTCCTCAGGCTATTCGCACCCCTCCGTTGTCTTTCTTTTCAGGCAGGCCGGACCCTGCTTTCCAGGTAGGGCCAAGCAAGCGTAGGGCCGGGATCCCCCAGGAGCGGGGAACCCGGGCTGTAAAAAGAAGGGATGTCCCTCGGAGTGAAGCGGAAAACCGTTCTCGCAGCTGTTTGTTTGTTTGTTTTCTTCGGGTTGATGGCGGGACAGTCGTTCTGTTCCGGTTTCGCTGCGGTCAGAGACGATGCTCCGGGGGTTGATCTGACCGCTGCAGCTGGGGCTGGAGGGGTTCCTCCACTGTTCATGCCTTAGGTGGGACCGGGCCCCCAGATCTCACTGTGGGCCACACTGAAGTTCTCAGCCCTCTGCCAAAAGCGTCAAGCGCTCCTGAATACCCTGTTTGTGATAGAATATCTATATTTCTATTCTATCTATGTTTTCTGTTCTATGTAATCTATGTATTAGCCAATTCCGTTAATAAAATGGCAAACCGCCGCTGGTTCTCCCTCATTTCAAAGCGATAAGGCACTATTTCACGTTGCCCCCTTCACCGGCTGTAAGGTGGTGACCCGAATAATTGTTTCCTCGTATTCATTAATCAATTACGTTCAGCAGGAATAGGAGGCGCACTGATCTATCTATCCCTGGCCGAGGGTAGTCCTTGTGTCTCTTGGCACAAGCCTGAGTATTAAATTTAGGTTCTAGGATTAGAAGTTGGAAATTTACTGAACAAATTTGCGTGTCCTTCTTGAGTCATTTTATCGAGCAAGTATTTTTAGTCCTCTTTTTATTTAAAGGACTTTAGTTAAATTACTCGCATTTTTATTTATTATTAACCGGAGGATGCTTACATGATATGTTTACTAGAGTCCTGGCGAGCAACTTACTGAAATCACTGTCTTGGAATAATCTGCTCGTTGGCACCATCAGCCCATCCTGGGTTTCTTCTCTGTATTATGTACTTGATCGATACCATCTACTTTGGTGAAGCCGATATGAAACGGGGTTGCAGAGAAGCGGGCAATCTGGGACGGCAAGGGTCTGGCCGGGGCAAGTAGAGCTGTTTGGGATGACAATATTTGGCTTCCAGGTGAGGGAAAACCAAGTGTGTGATCAGCCTTAGGGAAACTTCTGTCGCAAAAGGCAGAAAGCGACGAAAAAGGCTGCTTTAAGAGTTGCGGTCTTTTACAAATTGAAGGCAAAGTAGAAAATTGACACACACCTGAGTGCGTAAAATAAAATAAAATAAAGTAAAATTTTAAAGAAAAATGGAAAATATACCCCAAACCAATCTCTTCCTCCTCTCAACCATCTCTACTGATTCTTGTGTCGACAAAGTGCATAGCCTAGGGACCTTCTCGGAACATCCCCGGCCGGCATACCCCCCCCCCCCTTAAAAGACTCCTAGGAGAGGGGAGCTCACCCAGAGCGGCAGCCAGGGGTTGGCTCGGTGAGCAGCGGGATTGGGTTGCCCGAGGGCGGAGCGGCGGCGGGGGTCGGCCACCCCCTGCCCTCCCCGCTGGCGGGCACAGCCCTCTACTCCTCTTCTTCCTCCTTATTTTCCTCCTCTTCCTCCGCCCTCCTCCTCCCCCCCTCCGCGGCCGGGCCGGGGCCCTTGACGTGTCCCGCCGCCGATTGGCCGCCGGCCGATAGGATCTCCGCGGCCCCGCGTTAAGGCTGGGGAGCGCGCAGCGCTCGGCTCAGAGCGCTTCCCTTCCGCCCGGTATCCCGGCTCCGCTGCCCCCGGTACTCCATCCTGCCTGCCCCGTGCCCAGCCGCTCCTCCGGTGGGTGGCCATGGAGTACACGCCGCCCCCCAAGCCGCAGCTGTCCTCCCGGGCCAACGCCTTCTCCATCGCAGCCCTCATGTCGAGTGGCAGCTCCAAGGACAAGGAGTCTTCCGAGAGTACCATCAAGCCGCTGGGTGAGTGGGGACTGGGGCGGCCACTGGTGTCCGTAGGGCGCGGAGCTCCCTTCTCTACGTCCGTTCATCTGCCCACCCCTTTAAAGCCCCGCAGCCGGTTTCCCCCCCTTGCCAGCAGGTTTCCCCTTGCAGAAGTCAAAGCTCTGCCGCGAAACCCAGAGGAGCCTCTTCGTGCACTCACCGCACTTCTTAGCGAGGCTGTTTATAGCATGAACGGGCTCCTATAGCATAAACCGGCTCCGGGATTCCTCTAGCTTAAATCACTTCTGTCACCCGGTTTCGCCATTCTTAGAACTGCTCACACCCCGAGGTAGTTACAAATCCCTTCGTTGCCATCAAGCGAACCTCTTCATAGTTATAGCAAACAAACCATGGTTTTGAAGCCATCTAAGAGAATCTCCGCTGTCGTGCCCAGGCTTATAAGGGGTAGTAAAACTTGTATGTAGACCTGAAAATCCCCTCGCTCCACAGCCGCTCGCTGTAGGCTGATACAGGCTGTTTTACTCTACAGCGTCCGGAAGGATTTTTCTAGTAATTCCTGACGATTTTCAGGGAAGCGACTTCACTTTTATTCGCTCGCCTCGATTCAGATGCTCGAAGGCTTTAAAAACCGGTCATTATTATCTTTTTCTCCTCTTGCCCCCAAATTCCTGCGGTCCTTGCATCTACCCCACAGTTCGCAGGAAAATACTGCTACAAGAAAAAAAAATGCGTTAAGCTTCCAGGGCGCCAATGAAGAAGATAACCCTCGATGTTATAGGAATTCGGAGAAGGCAGCTCTCTCGGCGCCTGCTCCACCTCATCAACGGACTCGACAGCTTCACACAGTCCAGGGGTTCATTGTGAACTTTACTTTTTAGACTAGGCGATAACGTAGGCCGGGAATGTTGTAGCATTTCCCGTTTGATATATTCACACGGTCTTGTGTTAACCGTAGCTGCTCTTCTTCATTTACTTTCCTTTTTTTTTCTGAAATCGCTCTTTCCATTAACTTTTCAATTATGTTTTAAAATCATTCCAACCCCCCACTCCCCACCCCCACACCCCCCTCCCCGCCACTGAATTGGGAATCGAAGGGAAACCGGAGATTTGGCCGAAATTCCTCGGCGGACAGGCCGGGCTGCGGATCCGCGGCTGCATCCCGCTGACGGGCCAGGCCCCTGTGCCCTCCTCTCCTTCCCCTCAGAGCCCCTGAAGCCTCACGGAGTTTGGGGAGGGAAGGGAAGAAGCTCCGGAGGGAGCTGACGCCGGCGGCAGCTTCCGCACCCGCGGGGCCAGCGCCTCCACGCAGGGTGCGCGGCCGCACGCAGCTCCCCTCTCCGCAGCCCGTTTCCCTAAGGGAGTGCGTTGAGCCTCAGCAATCCGGCTGAGAGGCAAGGGCAGAGCCGGCTTTCCGAGCGGGTGAGTTAGCGCTAGGAACTCGCTTCCCCGCGGAGGAAGCGCGGCCGCGCTAAGGTTCCTTCGATTTACGGTCTCTGACAGCGGCGCAACTGAGGAGCAGCCGCCAGCGAGACCCTCGGAGCCGAGCGCTCCCGTTTGAATGAGAATTAGTGACTTTTCCATGGAAATCCTCGGCTGGCAACGAGGGGATCCCATCCTGACCCTCCGCGCCCGCGCAGCCGGCAGCAGCCGGGTGGGATACGGGCTTTTCCCAAAGCTCATATCCGACAAACACCAGCTCTACTCTCAAATGATGAGCAGGCGCCTTAGAAACAGCACGGCTGTGTGGGGTCAGAGGGGGCAGCTGAACCAGAAACGCCTTTTTATTTAATTATTTCAATTTATTTAATTTATTTTATTTAATTATATTTTTACACAGTTTCTCTCAGCGGTCCCTACGCCCGTCTTGACTGAATCGTGTCTCTCTTCTTCTCTTTTTCCCCCCTGAAATCTTGCAGAACAATTCGTTGAGAAATCCTCTTGCGCGCAGCCTTTGAGTGACTTATCCAGCCTGGACCCTCACGGGGAGTTTAGCACCAGCCCTTCATCGCTGTGCACCGAGCCCCTCATCCCCACCACCCCTATCATCCCGAGCGAGGAGATGGCCAAAATCTCCTGCAGCCTGGAGACCAAAGAGCTCTGGGATAAGTTTCACGAACTGGGTACCGAGATGATCATCACCAAGTCGGGGAGGTAAGGCTGGGCAGTCCCGGCATTCCTGCGGGCAGCCTCCGTACAGTGCTTTTGGGCAGAGGGAAATGAAGGGAAACTAAACAATCCCCTTCCCGGTTCTTATTCTGGGAGAGCAGCCCGGATGGCTAAGGGTTGGTACAGACACGGAGAAACGCGGGTGGTGTGGAACGAACTCGGCCAGGGCTTGTTTTGCTTCGGTTTTCTTTTCTCTCCGTTGCAAAAGAATCCCAGTCTTCCTCCTCCGTTTCCTCTGTAAAGCCTTTTGGATGAGTCCATCGCTGTCCGGAAGAGCTGAGTAGCTTGTCGGGTTTTGTAACCCGCAGAGTTACTCGTTATTAGCGCAGTTGCCCGACGATTGTGTTTTTTTTTACCATCGTGTGTGTTAAATATTTTAAAAGCACATATAAAATCTGCAATTTGAGGCTGAAAAATTGAAACTGTTTTAAAAGTTATTGGACTATTTCGGGTTGATGGCACAATCGCACAGTTAAAAATAGCGTCTTGTAGAAATGGATGTAAAGGAAGTTTTTAGGTTTTGAAAATTCCTCTCGGAAATAATCGTAAACGCACATCTGAACTACGGGAGACGCTGAACGGGAATGATATCTGCGCTATTTCCCTAACACTGTGTGGATCCCATTAAAAAAATCCAGCTTTCCAAGGTTTTATGTACCTTCGGTACAAGTATTTTCTGGAATCGTTCTGTACTTTTAACTAACAGTCAAAAGTTACATTTTTCCTCTTTAATTTTTGCCATGTTTTTGCTTCCAAAAAAATCGTTTGATTTCAAGCTGTTTTGTTTGGTCTTTTTTCTGTTTGTATTAGAGGTACACACGGGATTTAATTTCTACTATGCTGAAGCACAATCAATAGATGCTTTATTTTGTTTTTTTCCAGGTGGTTTAAATAGAATTCTTACTTTCTGAAGCTCTTTTATTTCTTTTCTCCATCACCTATTTATTCTCTGATTTGCCTTTATTTCAGGAGGATGTTCCCTACCATCAGGGTTTCCTTCTCGGGAGTGGATCCCGAAGCCAAGTACATTGTGTTAATGGATATAGTTCCTGTGGACAATAAAAGATACAGATATGCCTACCACAGGTCTTCCTGGCTAGTGGCTGGAAAAGCTGACCCTCCACTCCCTGCAAGGTTTGTAGATTTTACTGCTGGGATTCTTTTTATTTTCTTTACTTTTTCTTTATTGTTATTATTATTTTATTCAAGAACACCCCGTGTTTATCTTTTCACACTGTTTGCAGACAGCACAGACAAGATTTTGAGTTTGTGCTCAACAGCATTGATTGAAAAACACTGATCAATTTCTGTGATGCAGAATCGGGCCCCAAATTTCTGCTTGAGATTTAGTTCATATTGAATGGTCCAACACATGCATGACTTGGCTAAAGGCTTTATTTTGTGTGCATATATATGTGTGTGTGTACATACACATATATATTATATGTATATATAAATTAAGTTTGCCTCAATTTAGATAAGCCAAAAAAAATTAATATATATCGATTTCTCTCTTGGCTTTGCCCCCCTTTTTGCCCCCAGTGTTTGACTTCATAATATAAAATAATCCAAGCACAACAGTCAAGTCCAAGTTGAAATACTCCGCAGCAGTTCAGTGCTGTTTATGCTTGAATATTTATTGCTTCTTTCTTGATAAGGCATTCAACATTTGGTAAACTATACTTTTATTCTTGATTTTAGTTGTCTCTTAGACAGCAGGCAAAGTGTGGATCAGTTCTGCAGCACAGGGGTTTATTATTATTTATTCGTTTTGTTAAGGAATCCTGACTTTTTTTTTGAGAAACTATGGGGGAAAAAAATCAATTAAATTATCCCTATTTTCGATATAGAAACAAAATGCTATAGACAATTCCTATAATAATTCTGTTAACGTAGCGAATGACTGACCCCTTTGAGCACGGAGAAACTAAGGCAGCAGCACTAGGCTGTGTGGTGGGAGGCCACTTCAGAGACCCACATTTCATCGTATTCAGCCCAGCACTTCAGTACCTACTTAAGCCCCCAAGTCCTATAAGGCTGAAGCACATGTCCAACGGCTTTGCTGAGTCAGGGCTGGAGATATGGAAATAACCTGGATGCCTCTCTGGCTTCAAAGAGCCTTTCTGTTGAGGGCTCAGTGCAGGCACACGGATCTGCTCCAGGTGGCTTAGCCCGGGGTTAAGAACTTGCTTATTACAGAGGCAGAAATTAGAAGTGAAACACAAGAAATGGAAGTGGATTTTTTTTTTTGTGCCTGTGAGTATAGGGACCGAATCCTGCATGCCTCCCTCATATAAATAGTTTAGCTGGATTCTTGCTGACTGCTCATCTCTGGAAGGCAGCTCAGGGAAGCAAACAAACAAAAAGTGCATGCAGAGAAGCTGTGATTAAAGACAGCAACCTAGGAGTTATGTTGCCTTTGTTTTCATGGCCAAAAGCTCCTTCTTGCAATGCGGTTAACGTCTGAGGGCTTCATTTGACGTATTGTAATAGGCACTGATCAAAACCCCAAGGAAAAACACACGGGTCCTGCTCCAAAGGAGTCAGCATCAGAAGGAAAAATGAAAGAAGGACAGAAATAGTTTTTAAGGCAGAGTTCTCCCCTTCTTAGTTTTCTGTTCATGTGCTTTCTGGGATACCTTTAAATAGATTGCTAATTCACACTGTATTTGGCAGAGACTAGTTCAATAAGGAAATGCAAGAATATAAAACACTGATCCTTGGAATAAGTAGCAACTGTCCTACTGAGTGTTTCAGAACCAGGGTCAAACCTTCTTGGACTTCAATATTTATTATCATAATACTGTGGTAGCTCTTTAAGGTCCCCAATGGATCAGTGCCCCTGTGCGCAAACATGTACCTATGCTGCTTCATTTTCAGGCTGTTTTGCTCCACGTGTAAATGCATCCCTTTCCTGATTCATTTTCAGGATGCTTAGCCGAAAAGACCATTGATCACAGCAAAGGCACAGATTGCTTTTTCTTTGTATGAAGGGTACTTACATAGACACACATTTTCTCCTCCTTATGTTTCTGTTTGGTGAGAAAAAGGGTGTGAAGAGGTTCAGACGTCTGCATTACTTGTGCTTTTTCTGTCTGGGGTGCACTTTTTTCCGCACACAGAAAATCTCAGCTAGAAGTGACTGCCTATCCATGATGCTGCCTTTTCCTCCTCAAACCCTTCACAGTGTTGCTTCAGGGGTACAACTGCCCTTTTCATCTAACTGCTCCCTGTTAATTGCACTACAGCTTCTTTTCCCCCACGTATCTTTTGAGGTGGGAGGCCTCTGTCTTGCTTGAACAATTAAAAGTCGTACTCCTCCCACCTTGAAACAGGCTTGGTCCTACTCCAGTAACAGAAACCCTTAATGAAGTTAAGATTTCTTGTCCTCAGAACACAGAGTTTTAGCTCTTCTTACTTGAGTGCTAGTGGAGGGGGTACATGTGCTTAGCGCCTGGTACCAAGGTGCGAACTCCCCCTGCTCATCCTGCCTTCATGTGCACAGGCACAAAGGCATCAGGGGAATTATTAAGGAGTCACATTGTGCATGCGTGTAAGACTTCGCAGGATCCAACCCATTAGGTGTTTTGCTCTTTGCATTATGCAAATAACTTTCAATGCTAAAACAGCTCCCCCCTCCCCCCCCCAAAAAAAATTAGTAAGTAATATGTGATTCTGTTTGAAAGATCAGCCCTTCAGGGAACTTTCTATTTAAACCATTTTTATCCCTGTCTTCCTGCTGTCAATGTTTAAGACAAGCTTATGTTGCAACAAACACTTGAATAAAAATACTTTTTGGAGGGTCTTTCATAAGTCTTCAACAGTGCTATTCGGGGATAGAACACCTATCTGATAATTTGTTTTTCTAAATTGCTAAGACTGTGAAACGTCAGTTTTATCTGTTTCAGCATGTACCTTTATTTGTTCTTCCCTTTTCAACTTCTTTCCTTCACTCAAAAGTCTTTGTTGGTTTGTTTTTTTTTACTGTATTTGGCTATGATCATATTTTTAATGAAGTTATGGTGTTGACATGCTTAGAGACCTTTAGGTAGGAAAACTTTAAAAGGTATCACATTTGAGACATTAAAGGCTTTAAAAGTAGCATGCATGGGGTGTGTAGGACCAGACCAACTGTTAAACTAAATAGGAGAGCAGTGCTGCATTCCAAAATACACCAGAAGGAAGCAGTACCCAAACCATATCATGACATGTTATATGCTGTGGAGCAAATTCACATCCAAATATGGCCCCTGAAGCCTTTGTGAACTGAAATGAGCAGCCCCTTGCATCTGGCCAGACTTAAGCAGCAGAGCCTGCATGAGCTTCTGGGTGAGCCGTGTGTGCTGCACTGGAATGTGCACATTTATCTCTCCAGCTCATTTGCTTGTACACGCTCATAGTCCTGTTGATTAATTTTACTTCAAAGGGATATACTTCTAGTTTTCAACCCTCTTCTCCAAGGTGTACAAGCTCATGCTGTCGAAGTGTGTGGATAGGTGTAGTTCACCAGGTGGAACCACGTGTTGCAGTGGCTTGTAGCAAGTCTGCAAAGCAAAGCAAGGTCTCTTAACACATTTATGCAACCTATCCTTCAGTGACTTTCCCGTTGGTGCTCTGCTAACATCCAGGCACTTGGCTGTTTGAAAGCACTGCCAAGCATCAACTGCCTCTGGTGTGAAACAATTGTGCTCAGCTTTTAGACACACCAAGATCTTTATTCATTCCCCAGCACATAGCTGAAATAGTTTGGCTTTTTGGTGCCAATTAGCCAAACCTTGCTGAGCCTGACACTCTGTGGTCACAATAAACATTATGGGCTACCCAGTCTTTCAAACTTGGGAGTCAGTCTGAACAAAAACATGTATCTTAACACTGGCTGAAAAGTTGCAGGGCATGTTTGGGACCCTGTTTCTTTTGCCTTCTCTAATTCCTGGCTCCAAATATGATTTTCATAGGGTTTTCTTACAGGAAGGCAAAGTTATTTTTCAGGAGAAGTAAAGTTCTTTTGACAGAAAAGGATTCCAGGTTCTTGGGTTTTCAGATACACCATAATTTTTCATGAGCTTTGCAGTGTAATCAGCAAAGTTGATAGCAGTGTATGCTAGGAATATTTTATTGCAACAGGAACCCAGGCTCAGCATCCCTCCTGTGGACACAGCTCTACCAGCCAAGCTGTGCTTTGGATCAATGTAAGGAAAACATCCTGCATACCTGAAGTGAGCTGTGCTGGTAAACTTCAGTTTCACTGTGTCTTGGGGATTCTGCTGGCAAAACTGGAGAGTGCAGGATCAAATCTCCTTCCTCTTTGAGCAACAGAGCTGTGCTCCCCAGAGTCTTTAGAACAGGCATTCCTTGATTAGGGATCAGTGCAGTCTATCAGAGAGTTACACCCCACTGTTTAGTGGTTTTTCCATTTTCCTTTTGCCTAAACCAGAATCATAGCTCAACAACAGTAAAGAAAATGTTTATCTTTCTAACGCGGCGTCTCGGCGCTGCTACACCAACCTAATGGAAGAAATCCATGCCTGTGGCCAAAGACATCAACCAAACAAGAGTCAGGCCCTCGCTGAGTGATAACCAACACTGACAGAAGCAGAACAGGTCTGGTTTGCACTAGCTAAAGGTGCTAATTCAGTGTCATAAAAGAGCACTGGAGTTAAATAATTTTCTGCAATACATTGTTCCAATAATTCTTTATGAACAGCCTGGCAATGGTAATGGGTCTGATCATGATGTATATAGCATTATATCTGCATGTCTTCTGTGATTCCTTCTCTTCTGCTTAATTTCCAAAATGGTGGATTGTTAATTACAGAGCTGAAATTAATTTTTCATGTCAGACCACTGTGCTGGACTGCAGCCTCCAACCTCTTATAAACAGACGTCACCACAGCTAACGTGTGATCGAGTGCAGGTTAAAATCATTATCACGGCTTAATGTTACATATAAAGAAAAATGCATTTTTATCTACATTCCCCCATTATCTCTCTAATGACACCATGTTTTTTCTCTTGGAGCTGTAGTCATTGTTATTTTAAGTGCTTGTTAGTACAGCTGTGGGGAAAGACATGATCAATTTTTCATTTGGGAAAAGGCACAACAGCGAATGTTAGTTAATGTTTCCATTTTAGATAACTAGATAGAATAATAGGTATGGTTAGAGAGCAATCAAGCACTTGGACAGGGGATTCTTCATTAGGTTGCAGTGAATTAAAACAACTTGAGGCATCTGCTTCGCTGCCTTTCATGAATGGTTGTTTTTCAGGCACTTATTAACTAGGGGGAGATTGAATCTTGTTTGTGCAGCAGCTCTGCATTACCCTAAGCTCTCAGGATATAAGCATCTGTGAAACCACTGCGTATCCTGAAAGCAAGATAATACTGGCTGCTTACGAGGTGGTGCCCATGGGCAAGCCAAGAGGTGAGAGTTTTCATGTCCCCTGTGGTTTCTAGGTTGTACGTGCACCCTGACTCCCCGTTCACAGGAGAGCAACTGCTGAAACAGATGGTGTCCTTCGAGAAAGTCAAGCTCACCAACAACGAGCTGGATCAGCATGGCCACGTGAGTAGCCCTCCTGATGGGAAAGGGTAATGGGACCTATTGGCTTCACAGCTTAAATATAGTGGGGTTTAATCTCTGTTACTGAGGAACAGGTGACTTCAGAAATCAGGCTTCTTACCTGCCGTAAGGTAGAGCTCAGGTCAATGCAAGCATTCATGTTATGCTTCTATTGCTATCAGAGGTAGAGCGTCCACTGGGGACAAGCTCAGGGTAGAGTTGAGCATCCGAGCAAGGGAGAGAAGGGAAGCAGGTGAGCTTTCTGTCATGCTTCTGCCTACATTTTGCCATGACTTGGCATATGCTCTGCCATGTGCACTGGCTAGCCAACTCACACGCTATTCCACATGTGCTTGGAAGCTGCCTCTCATTACAAGCAAGCTGTTAGGGTTTGGTCCATCAACAAGAGCTCTTTTGCTTCCAGACTTCTTGCAGCACGGGCACAGTCAGCAGAAAATGCTGATGTGACACTAAAGCAACTGCTGTTGAATTATAAAAATAAGCGTGTCTCAGTTTCCCTTGAAATAACTGCAGGCTACCTGCAAGTCAAGGTACCTCAGGGTGGACTTGGGCCTCTAAAGGAGACAGGTCCCAGCTCTGATTAGTACCAGTTTGCTGTTACAAGCCCTGACACTGAAAGTTGGTAAACAGGATGCAGAGCTGTTGGCCATGAGCTCCTACTGTGCTCCGTCAGCAGGAACAACTCCTTTAGTTAACCTGACTAATGGTAGGTGGTAAGAAGTGTTGTCTGTCCTTTCCCCCTCTGAAAAGTGCTTGCAAAGAGCAGGCCCAGCTTGGTAGCACCTTCAAATTGCAAATGAAGAGCTAAAAGCGTTGCCTCTGGACTTGTCTGTTCCCCAGGGGAAGGCTGAAGGAGCAGGGGGATGGATTTGAAGGGGTTTTTGGCTGAGAAGGAGCACAAAGGCAGTGCTAGTAAACAAGGTGTCGGGAAGAGAGGAGTGATTTTGAACTCTGAAGCATGTGTAGGGGTAACTAGCTTGCCAAGCTGAATAACTGTGGCATACATGCTATCAGAAATCTGTCCCTTAGTGTGGTATTTATTGCCTTTTTGGACTCAGTGAGATGGTGGCTGTTTGAGCCGTTCTGTGCTAACACTTCTCACCCAAAAGAGAATTTTTACTCCTTTCAAGACCTAAGAATTGATCCAGAGCCATGATAATTCAAAATACATCCTGGAAACAACAACAACAACAACACATGTAGTTAACAAAATCCCAACAACGACCAAAAAACCTGACCAAAACTCCCATTCAAAACCCACAAAGCAAGCCCACAGAGATGCCTCTGTGAGGTCCTTTCGTAAAGATATGTCTGTGAGTATATTTTTCTTGAATCTGTTTCCCACCATTCCCTTCCTGACTAGGGAAGAATGTATTTTTGTTTCCCTCTCTCTTTTATTTCATAATCTGTAGAAGGGCAAAGCTGAAGATTTGTGGGCTCTATCACTGAGTGATGATAGAGCAGTATACGTGCACATTTAAGAAGAAGCATTTTTCATCATAACAGGGGCCATGTGTGCCTCTTAATAAAGGGCTTGCAGCAGTATATTGCAAACTAGTTAGGAGCAGTGCAGTTCCCAGAAGCCCAGACGAGTATAAAGAAGAAGTAGGTCTGAGAAGCTGTCGGGAACAGAGACATGTGACAGAGCAAGGAGATATAATCATCTCAAATACAGGCAGTGGGAAAAAATAATCCGTAACATTGGTGATGTGGCCTCCTGATTAACTTTCAAGGAAGCAGCAGAGGTGGATCCCATTCTTTACATGAAAGGTTTGGATAGCCAAAGTTGATGGAAAGTTTTATATGTTCAGTTAAGAATAAGCCCCAAAGGCTTGACCCTGCGTTGAGGTGTGTGTGACAGGTGCCTTCATGTATTTTGTGGTGGTTTATGTTCCAAATTAGGGTGCCTAATTTCTGTGCTGCTTCATTGAAGATATGAAATTGCCATCATTGGATGCTCAGTAGAATTAAGCAAGAAATTAATTCTCTGGCACCTTTAAGGAGGGCTTGCTGTGTTTTGGTGTTTCTGACCTCCCACATATTAAGAGAAGGGGAGAATTGAAATCCCTCCTGAAACATGTCCCTTCAGTTTGAAAGAGCCCCTCTTCACTGATGAGATCCTTTTTAACTGACTTGCTAAAATCTTAATTATGTTTGCTAAGGTATATTGATTCCCGAGGAAGTCTGAACAACTTAAGAGACGCTTTTAATTGCTAGTTAGATGGAAAGAAATTGGATCCAACCTGATTCCAGTTTCTTCTAGTAGCTTGCTTGCTTCATCCTCCAGAAGACAGTTTTGGTTGTGAAGGTAATTGTGGTGTTTTATTCATAGGGTGGTTCTTTTCCAGAAAAGAAACCTGAACAGAGGCATTTGTTTGTTCTAGCATTTGTTTGTTTTCTCTTCTTCCAAGGTTTTTGGAGCTGGCAAGCATCTCTGCTTGTGTATCTTCAGTATGCATAACCCCATAGCTATGTACATATTCTCCTCAAGCATCAGGCAAAAGTCTTTATCTCTGTGTGCATGACATATAGCTTGCTCCATGGAAACACTTTCAGCTATCTTTGCCAGAGGAAGGAAATGGCTCCTGTCTCTGGATTTTTACAGCCGAGAGAGTAATTCCCATTTTTCTGCTTGTGGAACATTTATGAACATGATTTTTTTTCCAGGTTCCTGGTGATGTTTTTCACACAGACTGCTACTTTTATGCATTTTGGTTGCACTTAGTCAGGGTTGCATCATTTATGGTTTACGGTGAGGTGAACCATGAGTGTATACATTATCGAAATTGCTTTTCTGGCATTCATGATAGCAAAACTCCAACACATGAATGTTTGCAAAAGCAAACACAAAGGTGTGAACATGGCCAACAAGTAACTGTGAAAGCAGGAGCTTCAGAATAGCCACCAGGAGTTATGCCCAGGGCGTTTTTTAAGTCAACCTGTCAGAAGTCAGGAACCTCCATGCTTTTAGAAAGCAAACTGCCTGGTAACACTCTTCACTGGTGAATATGGAAGCTGCACTCACAGCACAATTCCTAAAGTCAAAGCCATCTCAGGGATTTTGCAGCTGGCATCCAGATTGCCTCCGGTGATTCGTCTGGAGACAGTGGGAGGCAGATGCCTACAAATCTGCTTGACCCTAGAGCAAACAGTATCCTGTAATGATGGATCCTGGTCATCTTCCCCGCTGCAGGCTGTCAGCATGAAGGCAGATGGGATGCTGGGGACCTGGGACAATGCTGTATTGCCAGTAAGCCTGTGCCAGGGGGGCTGCCTTAAGTATATACGCACTTGATATTTCTCTCAGAGCACACCAGCCTGAGTATTGCAGAACTGGCATCATCCAGGGCTTTGAGCCCACCCTTGGAGACTACTCCGTGAGAAGCACCCTGTGTACCTAACTCCTTCAGGCTGTTTTGATGGTCCTAACATCAGAAGTTGCATGGATATTAAGGGTATATTTGTGAGGTATCCTGCTGACTTTAGTATCCTTGAGTACTGCAACATCCGCAGCCTGACTGGGGAGGCAGATGGAGCACTACCTACACAGACCCTCATGAAAAGGAAATAGTGACCTAACCCTTGGCCATGGGTCTTTTGTGACATCCTGGCTATATCTGGTACTTGCTTTGTACCTGAATGACCTGACTCGTTTCTGGTGGGAATGCACAGTGTAGAGCAATTTGGCAGGGGATGTTATCCATATGCACATTTGTTTTTGGAAGACTTTCATACAGGATTACATGATCATGTTTGAGAAATGGAGTTTCTTTATGACAATTCGCATTCACAGAGGAGTGAAAGGAAAGGGCATGTGTGGGATCTGCTCTTCTCACAGTTTTTTCCTCCTTCCTTTCGGCTGCTGCTCAGATGTAATGCCGCAGGGTGGATAAAGCAGTAATGATAGGCAATAGGAAGCGCCAAGCTCTGTGGGCCAACCCCTCAATAAGCTCATCACCGCACCATCCTTTAAAGTGTCTTTTCCAGCTGCTTAGAGCTGCCGTAGTGACCAGGATGGTAAGACAAAATTGTACAAATAGAAGGAAGAGTGCTAAGGATATTAAAGCCAAAGTCAATGGCCGTTTTGTGTGTGCATATAGAAAAAGGTGAAGTGATGCAAGAAAGCAACTGAGGTGGTAAGAGCACATGTAACACTTTCAAGGCAATGAAAGTGCCCCCACAAAGTCACAGTACGAGTCTCAGCAATATTTGGCTGCAAAGGAAATGCTGATGGAAACTTTAGCCGTGGCAAATCTGTTCCTAAGTTCCCCCCTCCAATGCAACATGCAACCTCTCCCATTGACTGAGTTACCATGAAATACTGCACCCCTTCTGCTGTGTTTCAGCTGAAGTTAACGCTTCCTGAGGAATGCACATTAGCTATTCCAGATGTACAGATCTGACTGTAACGTCGTTATGGCCCCTGCAAAATAGAACCACCCACACCAGTGCCAATTTCGTCTTGTGACTGTGATTATATCCAAAACAAGGACTGGTGCAAGATGAGCTCTGTATTTAATTCTTATATTGTAATACTGTGGTTAGAGGCAGCCAAACAGGCCTCCAGCCAGTGGTAACTGAAGCAAGTGGGACTCTGGGTTTGACTCCAGTGAACGCTGACCTTGGTTAGTTGGTACATTAGGTTTAGAATCGTTTTGGGAGCTCGTAAACAACTATTAACGAGAATAAAATGGTGAAACCTGGTCATTTTGGGGCTCTGTACTGGGTTTCCTCCTTTCTCTAATTTTTGGTAGTCTGTTTTTGGTAGTCTGCGGTGAAGAGCATCTATGGAGTAGTTGGCTTTAAAGGTTTGCCAAAGTAAAAGGATCTGGGGAGTTTTATTTTTGGTCATGTTTATACTGCTTTTTTTTTTAATTGGGTTTTATTTTTTCCTGGCTTTTGGTTTGGGGATGTGCATGTATTTTATATATATCTATATACATATATATGTATATATATATAAACCATACCAGGGATTCCTGGCTGTTTTCATTCTGCACCTGCACATTTCTGCAAGTGTGGATTCCGAATCATAAGTTTTCATGAGTAACATATTTTCCCTTGCAGCTGACACCTGCAAACCTGGGCACACGCTAGCAATAACAAAGCCTGTATGTAAAACACCTCACCTGTAGGAACAGGTATTTATGCTTTAGGAAAATAAGTGCTCAGCAGTGGCGTAGGAGTGAAAGGAAAGCAGCTCCTGGGATGCCTGCTTTTCCACCTTCCTTTTCTGGAACTGCCCAAAAGGAGCTGGAGAATTTCCTCTGAAAATCAGCCCATGGCTAGCTGTATTTCATAGATCTCCCCTGCAGTGTGACTTAGATCTCGTTTTCCCCCTTTATGCCTTTGAGGATGCTGTTAACCTTCCTCTCAGGACAGTCCCTTGTCACTCTTTCTTGCAGATCATTCTGAACTCCATGCACAAGTACCAGCCAAGGGTGCACATTATTAAGAAGAAGGATCACACGGCTTCTCTGCTAAACCTGAAATCGGAGGAGTTCAGGACGTTTATCTTTCCAGAGACTGTTTTCACTGCTGTTACCGCCTACCAGAATCAATTGGTGAGTACATTTGCTAATTTCCATAGCTTTAACTAAATCCCACCCTGCTGAGAACTCCCTTTTCCCCAGTTTCAACTTTCCCTTTCCCTCTTCTTCCAGTTAGGAAAATTTCTATATAACCTACCTTTCTGTGCCAGGGTCTGTTGTGACTGTGCCCAATCTAATTCATATTCAGGCGTAATTCTTACGTATATGGGTAGTACTACCAACTTCAAAGAGCCCTAAGGATTATTCATGGGAGTAAAGATGACATGAAAGAGGCTTTCATTTGTCTTCCCTTTTTGCCTATACAAAGCTGTTTGCATATTATCATTTAGTCCTTTTCTAATTATAGCTCATTAAGGAACTGTTCTTATTTGTAGGGATCTTTGATGTCACAAGCTATTAGCTAAGAGATACTCTGGTTTGCACGGGATGATTTCATGGCCTTAAAAACCTGACTAATTAAGATGTAAGGCTTAAACGTAAGGGAAATCACTTGGAGATATGCTTTTCAGAGGCTGCCCAGATTACATCCAGATGTTTGAATTTCAATATGCATGCCAGTGAATAATATATACAAAATGGAGGAGATCATAACAATGGATTGCTAATGAGTAATTTTAGGAAATATATAAACAGAGAGCAGAAGCTCTGCTTGACAGTGGATAGGACTTTAATAATTAAGTCAGTGGAAATACGTCGTTGGCTTCACTGCAATTCAGAATGTGCTTTAAGTGCTTAGTGACTGTGTCACTTAATAAAAAAATAAATCTTGCCCTCCTTAATTCCCTCAAGATAAGAAAAATATAAGTACTGTCCCAACATGGAGGCAGGAGTATCCCAGAGCCAATGTACCTGCTGTGGACTATTTAATGAAGCAAAAGTAATGAATTTCTAAATGCAATGAATAAAATGCAACTACTGCACAGGGGCAGAAGAAGCTCTGAAGGTAATTGTGTAGTATTAAGTCAGTCCTTGAGACAGATCCCACATCCCACTTCAAGGCTTTAATATCTGAATGTATTGATTTTAAACTGAGGTTTGTATCTAAATCATGCAGAAAATGCATTCAGGACCTGATAATCTCAAGAATACAATGTTTGGACAGATGGAGCGATTTTTCCATGTAACTTTCTTCAGAAACCAGCAAAATAGTTACAGGCACAAAACCAGCTAAACCTGAAATCCACTTCTGTAGGATGGATTTGTGTTTATGGGCGCTATTTACACCAGAGATGTTTCTAAACTAACCTTCCCAAAGAACATACACTGAGTCCTGGAAAACTTCTCAGTGGAACATCTCCAGAATCCCTAGAGGTTGATGCTGTCTTTTTATTTATGACCAACGAAAACAGAGCCTTTTTTCATTTTTTGCCATTTCTTTCAGAACTGTTTTAAGGAGGGATTGATTACATTTCTGGAGGTTATTAGATAAAAGCTAAATACATTACACTTTCAACAAACTATCTCATAATTTAAGATTTAAAGGGCATGCATTTATTTAAACAGTCAAACCACTGCCACAGAGTTGAATTGTAGGTCAGATTTAATTTTAAAATGCTTTCTAGCAGATGTTCTCTGGTTGTTTGTGAGACAGTCTCTCAGGAAAAATATGGCCATAAATGATTGCGAGTCTCATCTGGCACCGGTGTACAGAAAAAGTTTCTCTTGTGATGTCATACCAAATCTTTAATATCAGAAAATGTAAGTTTGATTGGTGAAAATATGCTCAAGAGATGAATAGATGTCCTTATTATCCTGCAGTGCAGTTGGCTTGGTGTGTTGGTGATCTAAGTCAATGGAACTAGTTAGAACATGTCTTTTTTTCAAGGTAGTTTTTAGGATGCTGCCATAAAAACATTCACTGTACGTGAGGCACTAACTTTTTTGCAACATCACTGTGAGTCAAGGGCTAACTTGCCGAGCTGTGAGAAGGCTGGCGCTCAGGGAGCTTTCCACTGGTTGTACCTGATGGCTGTACCGTCATGAGATGGGCTCAAACTCTCAGCCAGCACTGAGGTCCCATGCTGTTTGACCAGCCATAGGAACAACTGGTGAGCTGCAGCAGCTCCTGCCTGGCACCTCAAAGCAAGGACCTTCCCCGGAGAGCTTGGGAGACCTGTATGGACCCAAGATGCCAAGCAGGGAAGGTAGCAGCCCAGGGATGCAAGGACTTGCCCAGGGTGACAGCCGCTCAATGCATTTTTCATATACTGCAGAACAATAGTTAAATACTCATGTTTTGTCTTTGTAAGCCATTCCCTCCCTTGTATTTTCCTCCCAGATCTTTTTCTCATAATGAAACGCTGGGCTCAGTTGTCCTTTTTAACTATTTTTACCAATTTATTTTTCTTCAATTTGGAGGAGAACCCACCCCATTTTGAAATACTGTTGTTTGAGAGCATTTGATTGTTTGAGGATTTGGAAAAGATCCCTTTTCTTGCGGAGTCTCAAGGGCCAGCTATTAAAAATGAGGTTGTGGCCTCTTCAGTACAGGCTTTTTTTGAGGAAAGCCAGGCTGACATAGCCACTCGGCATGAAGTGCTGAGAGCTGTTATTTCCATGAGCTTCAGCTGGAGTTGGTGGCATTCACTGCCTGGCAGGACAAGTCCTGTGTTATCCTTTGTCAAGCTCTAACATTTACAGTTTTATTTTGAATTCTTGCAAGAAGTATGGCTGGAATATCTAAATGTTACAATGATGTCTCAGGTTTTATCCACCAAATCTCATCTGGTTGCACAGTCAGAACATTTCACAAGGGTAGTGGTATATTTTCTTCCTGCTCCCATAAAACCACAGTTGCAGAGATCACCTACGGCTGAGAAGTTTCCCTGCAAATGCAAGGGGAGCCCTGATGCTCTGGGGCAAAGGGACTCTTGAGCAGAGTGGAAAGGCTGACAGGATACACTGGGCAGGCCTGTAGCTGCTTTCTAAAGAAGGGATGAGAGTTTTGGTTGTATGATCTCTGGTTTTCCAGGACTGATGGTTTTAATGGGGTTACTCCTTTAACCCAGGTTCCATCAATTTAAATCTGAGTTCTGCCCATATTTTTCTTCCCTCATTAGCCTCCTTCCATAGCTAAACTGCCCCAGTGTGGTGGCTGGTAGGTTTGGCTGAAAACATTAGCTCCTAGTTTGGGCTCAAATGAGTTGATGTGCGGCTCCACCAATGAGGCTCAGATGTTAGGAAGGTTCTCTGTTGCTCATGGAAAGGACAGCCTGATTCATGCTCTTCAAGCATTTTGAAATAGTGATGCTGTATACATGGGTGGGTTCCTCCTGCTCTGGGTAACATGACAGCAGAGACCACCGTGCCCTTTGGTCTTTCCATTGCCATATGTGTAATACACCCTGGTTTGCCCCTGACAGCTTTGCAGTATTTCAGGAGTAGGTAGCACACATGAACACACAGAAGGAGCATGGATAAAATTAGCAGTGAAGTCAGGAGGATGGATCTGTTAACACTTTGTACGCTAAAATACCTTAACGCTATATTCATGTTGCGTTGCTCTTTTCTGTGTTCCCAGATAACCAAGTTGAAAATTGACAGCAACCCTTTTGCTAAAGGATTCCGGGACTCTTCCAGACTCACTGATATCGAGAGGTAATGGGGACTTTCTGTTTACTTTCCATGCAGATAAGATAAAGAGAAGAGAGAGTTTGTAGGAAAAGCATCCTTTCAACTCCTGAGAAGCTGTGCATTTTTAACGTTATCTTGTTGCATGCAGTAAGCCTCCTCCACCTCCTTTAAAAATACTTATAAACTTTATGAAGAAAGAGCTGGTTTGAGTTTTGACATCTGTTCCAGTTGGGGCTAATATATTCATCTTCCTGAGGGGACTTCTTGAAGGGGGTGGGGGAAAGGGTCAGTTTTACAACTTTGGAATGAAAAGCTTTTTTCTTATCATGCCATTTAACCCTACTGAGGGCTGTGAATTGTGTCAATGGGAAACAAGGGTAGTGGTCCTGTGAAAAACATCTTTACAGCTCCCCACTGCTCCACACAGTGGAAAAGAGAGGGGAGCTTCCCAAAATACACTTTAGCAGTTCCAGACACTGAAGTCAGCAATTATTGCTATCGGGATGAATCCCATAACTCCCACTCTGATGACAAAGATGCCATTTTTGTTTCACCAAAATTGCACTGCAGGCTGCATCAGGGGAAAGCCTTATCTGGAAACTGTTGAGTCTTGTGTGTGTGTGCAGTTCATTATAAGCAACTGCTGCCATAGGGAAAGAAGCATTAACCCACAGTTGAGTAGGAAATAAACTTCAATCTCTTGGTAGCTCTCCAGCACGTCACATTTTTACGATATCGTGTCAAACAGTTTGGCAAACGAAGCAAATTAAGCTGCCTGTGTCCTTTAGGCTGGAAGGGAACTTGATGGAGATGGATATAGCACATCCAAATTTCCCTGTAAGCACACAGTCATGAAAGAAAGTTTGGAGAGGCCAAAACCCTCCAGGCTCCTATGTCATCTGGGGATATCCAGATGTATCTGTGAATCATCTTTTGCAGGTGCACATAGGGGACAAACTGCTCAATGAAGTCATATCCATACAGCTAGGGAAAGTCTTTACAGCATTGCAAAACTACCTCAATCTAAGCAGCAACATTGATGGGAGATAGTGGTATATTTTATACCTTGCTAGTGACAGGATCATTAGTGATACATTGAGTGATTGGCTAAAGAAGAGTAATTTTACACTGCATTCTTGCAAAGCTGTTAAGAATTGCTTCCTAACTGAAAGCCTTTGTTGAAATTGGAAAAAGAACCAAACCAGATTTGATTAAAACAGCACAGCTTGCTGTACAGACAAAGTACTAAGGTAAAGAACACCTGAAGCTCAGGTTTGTGTGCAATAAATAGTCAAGAAAAGACCTGTAAGAAGAGCGGATACTTTGATATTTCGCACTTCAGTTTCCTTGTTTTACAGGCAGGCGACACCTAATGACACAGCTTTGGAAGGGCTGAGTGAGTCTGAATAGATAAGCTGGGAGAAAAACTTAGTTACCTCTGTGCAGACGAACTGACTGTTGTGGTGCTGGATATGAAGGGAATTTTTCCAGAGGACATCTTATTATAACAGCACATGGCATGGAGTCAGAAATGCTGAACACAAACCGCAGTGCCCTTTTGTTTATTGATAAGTGTAAGAATAGAGCCTGAGACAGGCAGCCTAGCCCAGGCACCAACGTTGCTATGAAAGATAAGGGAGCCACATGTGAAACCTACAATAAAGACAAGAAACAGAATGTAGAAAGTATTTAAATGATATTAAAGCTCTGTACTTAAGAGTGTAAGTGTAGTTAAGGACTTATTTTGACTTAAATTGGAAAGTTTATCCCTCATTAGGGAACGGTATTTAAAAATAACCCCAGAAACTGCTGCACAACAGATCAAGTAATGAGATAGTCATAGTGTAACACACAAGAGGCCTGGTAAGAAACTCTTTGAGAATTTCCTAAGTTATGTGATATGCTTCAGAAATACCAAGGGTTCTATTCAGTTCCAGCATTAAAATATCCAAGCAGATGAGAATGCCATTCTTTTAAGTGCCCACTGGCTCCATAGACTTCAAGTTAGTGCCAGCAAAATTGCTAAAAGAATCTGATAAAAAGCGCAAGGAAAAGCAAAGAGAGATATTTTATATGGTGTGACAGTAAGACAAGTAGCTAGGGTAGATTTTAGATTAGACCTTAGGCAGCACCTGTGAGGACAATGAGGCGCTGGCATGGAGAAGCTGTGGCTGCCCCATCCCTGGCAGTGTTCAAGGCCAGGTTGAACAGGGCTTGGAGCAACCAGTTCTAGTGGAAGGTGTCCCTGCCCGGGGTAGGGGGTTGGAATTGGTCCTTTCCAACTCAAACCAGTCTGTGATTCTATATGACAACAGGAAGAATTTCTCACTTAATATCCATTGTGACATGCATTACAAGATGTAGGTGATACATGGAATAGTACAGCGTGACTCTTTCTTGGTCTAGTCAGAACTTAGCTATTTCTAGAAGATTACAGGGAAAAATACTTATTTTCTAGGAAAACGGCTACGCAAGCCAAACACACGTTAGTACAGCTCTTGAAAACTGAACAGTTACTTTGAAGCTGTGAAAATTACTTGCATGCACTGCTTCCGAAGCACATGCATGCATAATCTGCACAGTGATCCTAATAGTCTCCTGTAAAGCATCCTGTGATGTTAGGGCCAAAGAGCACTCATTTATCACGAGTTCCAGCTTTTCTGAATGACCTAAGTAGTGTGAAAGTGTACAGAGCTTTGTATTTCATTTCCAGGTATTTAAGCCTGCTTTTTCCTAAACAGCCTTTGGGGAGGGAAACAAATCAGATCAATTGATCTTTAGAGACCTAAAGAAATTAAATTAGTCTGGAGTCAGTTACTGCACTAAACCATCCAGTAATTGGATTGCTCCTTGTAACTGATTGAAAACAGCCTCTATCTGTAACAATATAGGTAGTTTTTCTTTATAGTAGATCTGAGAGAAAAACACATCTTTTTATGACATGATGACAGAAATTGCGCTTTTTTAACCTAATTGAATATGATTTTATAAATATGTGACTTTAATGATTTCAGGCTTCCCATTCCAGATTTACGATCCTTAAGTATGAAACCCAAGCTGAAAATGCATTTAGGATTAGATTTGTTTGCGTTGTATGTGTTGGAGCTAAAATAATATATGTGAAGATAGTGAAATTTGCAAAATGGTAGAGGAGGTAGCAATAGCAAAGCAGCTGAAATGCTTCTATTTTGTTTTGTTCCTGGCTATATACCTTACTACAAAGCTTTTAACCATTGAAAACATCTTTGGTAAGTTTGGTATACATCAGATTTTCAGTAGGATGTGAAATTCCTTCCATAATCAACTCTTTCCATACATTACTTGTGGTAATCTATTTATGGCAATGGGGCAGACTTTATCTGGGGCTACTGTGATTTAGATAAGTAGCTGATTCACCTTTTGATCTTTTCACATGGTATTTACATTTCCTGTATTACAAAAAGGCCCCCACAGTGGTTGTTATTGGAAAAACTGAGCATTTAGCAGCAACTGTCAGAATGTGAAGCCTATCGTACGCTGGTGTTGACTATTGGATGCTAAATGCAATATTGTGGGTGAGTGTGACCTTTTTTAATGGTAGCCTTGTTAAAAAGACTAATGTAGGTGTTATAATGAGCAATTCACTCTGGAGATGAGTTTTAAGGGAATATCTTTATGCTTCTGCTTGAGAAAGGACTGCCAAAGCCGTAAAAGGATGCAAAATCAGAACCCAATGGGTTACTTTCTATCTCAAGACTGAACTTATCTTTTGAGCTGTTGTGAAGAATTAGCCTTTTAAAAATAAATGGTTAAATAAAACCACTGTGATTTAATGTCATGCAAACAATCCAGGGAAAAAGGTGACCACACAAAAAGCATGAGTGAACAGAACTACTGAATTGTAAAACAATGATCAAACAAGAGCTGACAGATCACAAACATGATCTAAGCATTGCTTCTGTTTGATCCAGTATGTGACAGGCAAGTCAGGGCGGACTTGTAACTATTAGAGAGCTAAGCAAGTACACCCAACTGCACAAGACCAATAATGTTTCTGGGAGTAGATACATACTTCAAGAGGCAATGTGGACACCTGAGTAATTTTTAGGCAGAGAAAGGAAGGATTTGGGGATAAAGAAGTAAGACAGCTGCATCCCAGCATCCCGGCTGGATTTGCATGGTAATTAGATTCTGAAATCTCCCCTGAGGAACTTCATATCTGAGATGTGGAAATACATTGTACTGGCTTACAAGGCTGTAAGTGAAACATATGTTAATATCCAGATATGGGCATTGCCCTGCTTAATGCTGCACTGTCCACAGTGGTCCCCTCTTCCATCCTCTCTCTGAGCTGCCTTTCTCCCCATTCCCATTGCTTACTGCTGGTCTAGAACAAGTTCCCTGAATCTTAAAAGCCCCCTACCAACAGCCAGAAATACTTACTCTCTATGACCTACTCCCATGTCCATGATTAAGTAGGGTTTTGTCATAGCTCTCCAGCAAGTCAAACTCCCCAGTTGATCTTTCATCTCCAGCTACTTCTCAGTCTGTGAATTTCAGCCACCAGCCATGGGAGACCATCTCCAACACTTAGGTTGGGAGACAAAGTAAAATCCTGAATTTAGAGAAACACCAGGGACTACAGTGCCTAAATGCCTGGTATCTGGTGCCATTCCAGATGTGCGGATCCACTCCAGCCTCCAGCTGCTCATTTTCCACTTAGGTATTCTGTTATTCATCCTTTTTACTTGTGCAAAATGATGATATAAAAAAGCTCTATTTTGCTACTGTTTTCCACTTGCCTCATGCAGGTGTCATACGTGCATAAGGGGAGGGCATGATGTCAGACCAGACCCATGGTTTCCAAGTCACAGAAATGTAATTTTATCTTTGTGCTTGTTTGTTTTAATTCCCTGTATAAAGATAGCTGTTTTCCTCATTTTTATTCGCAGTTGGGAGAAGCAGGGTGGCTATATTTGATAACCTCATGATCCTTTCTCCTAAGTGTCATTACTTTTACCAAGTAATGGCTTCAGTGAGGCTAC